GGAAGGCTAAGGAAGGCTAGGGAAGGCTAAGGAACATCTCGAACTTTCACGATTGACTTTTTGCTGCGACTTATCTCTGGTTTTATGCGCCCAATAAGGACAAAAATACCACCGTTCGATTCAGTGTAAAAAATTATACTCACAGAAGTCAAATGTATTACTAAACTACAGTATTCTAGCGATTTATAACCTTTGAAAGACAAGCGAAATTGTATTGTTCACAAATCGCTCAAAATTATTAAACTAATTAAAAATGCAATGCATTTGACCTTGTCCTTGATAACTTTCGTATTGTTGGTTTTCTCTTTTTCGTCCGTATACCACTATACCAGTCGATTTGTCTCACTTTTCTCTTTATTTTGTTTGTAGTTTGAGCCCAAAATATTATATTTTGAAGGTTTTACAGTGAAAATACAAAAAGTGTCCCACTTCCGCTTCTGTAGTTTGTTGTGATTTACTGTAATTTGTTCTGTTTTTCTGTAGCGATTACCGATTTATCGGCAAATACCGCGATAAAACTTAGTTTTCTCTACTTTTTAAATATTCATTGCATAAAAAGTACGAAATTTAAATTTTATCGCAGTATTTGCCGATAAATCGGTAATCGCTACAGAAAAACAGAACAAATTACAGTAAATCACAACAAACTACAGAAGCGGAAGTGGGACACTTTTTGTATTTTCACTGTAATGTGCAGTTTTAATAAGCGAAATTGTATTGTTTACAAATCGCTCAAAATTATTAAACTAATTAAAAATGCAGTCCGTTTGATCCTTGATATAAACTTCGGAATTGTTGGTTTTCTCGTTTTCGGCCGTATGCCAGTGGATTCGTCTCACTTTTCTCCTCATTTTGATCGAGGGGTCCGACACGGCCACATGAAGCCAACCTCGTCCCCAGGGCCTTTTGAAGAAAGATGCGAAGGGCAGCAAAGGCCCTGGTAAAGGCTGGTGAAATAATCCACAAATTGTGGATTATTTTGTCACGTGATATATCGGAGCAAATACTATACAGGGGGGTGCGATCGCGGATCGCTTTAGAAATTGCTGCCTCGATTGTGAAACAGATATGTAAAATCACTTTAATTTAATAATATGGACTCTCAATACACCATATCCATCATCATCAAAACATTTAATAGTTATTGTTGCTACAATAGATCTTTCTTGCAAATGTCAATATCATACAGTATATTTAACAGTTAAAGGGAGTACAAGACCCAAAGAATGTCTGAAAAACAAGGAATGTCAACATCGTATGCACTTGGAATTTAAATGCTTATGTTAGCCATATGCCCTGAGTATAACCTGGTTGACCTCCATGATTAATTAACATTTTCTGAATTTAATTGAGTTGAAATATTTTATTTGATTTTCATTCTTATCCCAAGAACATTGTGAACACACATATAATGCTTTGGGTTTAGATTTCAAAGGCCAAGCTTCAAAACAAATGTTGTGATCTTAATTATCAGGCATTCCCAAACAATTACATGCATGAGGGTCAAATCAGACAGAAAGCCTCCATATGCTTTATCAAGGCTGAATAATATAATGAGATGGAATTAATTTCCTCATTATACTGTTAACAAGCTCTTGTTTTTGTTTGTAATCAATTACACAAATTACTTCCCAGAACATTATTTAAGGAGATTATTTGACAAGTCAGCAGGTACATTTCCTGAGCCACAATTGGGGCAATTCAGTGTCACTCATCACAACAGGCACTCAAAATCACTCACAACATACAACAGGCAGTTCAGCATCACTCACCACAACTGACTGTTCAATAATGTGTACCTCAGTAGGCAAATCAATAATCAATATTTTGCTCAGATCAACAACAAATATCAAAATTGAACTCATTCTCAAAACATGATACAATAACAAGGGGTCTCTTCTGGACAAATACAAGACACCTGATGTCAAATGCATCAAGTGACAAGATTATTCATCTCTTTTAATATAAATACATTTTGCCGCCTTGTAATAAAGTACTATTTGTTGTTGGTGACCATCAGTTGAGCAATTTAAAACATTTGCAGTGTATGCTTTATCAGACCTAAAGGTACTTGGCTTCACCTCGTATCTTTATACCTGATAAAACTATAGTACATAAAATAATAACTATGATATTTAGCCTGAATATTATTATAAATGTATGAAGGATATTATACATATATTCTTGATGCTCAACATTATCCGATAATCATTTAACATGAAATCCGATAATCATTTAACTACTGAGAACTGTGTGAATTCCTGAATTACTTATTGTTACAGACTGTACTGACCTCTTGCAATTATGGTTATTAACCAAAATCTGACAATGTCTCTAGTTAACCCATTGAGCTGCAATGTGCCCCAGTGTGCCCCAGTGTGCCCTACTTACTGAAATTGACTGATTTGTGGTTTATGGGGTTTTTTTGTGGCAATTCTTTGGGCATCACAAGTGCATTTTATTAGTATTTAAATGACACAATATGATGTAAGTTACCTTTCAGGTATATAATTTGTATACAGCATCAGTGGTGTAACTTAACTTTTTTGACCACTTGCCCTCAGGGCAAGTTGGACAATAAAATTGGTTGCCCTGAATAAAATCCAGTTGCCATCAGGCAATGGGGTACCTACGTGGGCCAGTATAAATTAGGGAGACAACATATCCACTCATTGGACTAGTGGCATTGGCTATGTTACTGCCTCAGATCTAGACTACCTCAGATCTAGCTTTGGCTCACATATTAAACAAAATTTGAATCAAGTACACTTATTTAATGTAACACTAATCACCATTATTTTTTTTTATTATTAGTTTTACAATAAGAAATTGAAGGCACAGACAACAGGACTAATAAAGTCCCAAATTAAGTCCTGCCATAAATTAAGTCCTGCCATAAATTAAGTCCTGCCATATTTCGTTATCATATCATGAATAAACATTTAATAACCAAAAAGAGAATCAATGCATAATATAATCAAACAATTTAGATGAATTTGATGCAGATAATTTGCCAGCTTGAACCAATGTCGTCGAATAGCCTTTATTCTATCTGACAATAATAATATAAACTGAAAGCTGGCCAGCTTTTTGTGGCAAAGCAACTTGCCTGTTCGGGCAACCAAGAGGAATCTTTTACTTGCCCGTCATGATATTCACTTGCCCCGGGCAAATATTCACTTGCCCCGGGCAAGTGTAAGTTACACCTCTGAGCATAGTAGTTGCCATTTGGCAGCTGTTGGTCTGGTTGAAGTGCTGAGATAATTTGGGGAGACCCATGGCATGCTCTCTCAACAGTGAAGGTTCAAAAACACACATGCCGGAATGCTTATAGGATACCTCGCCATTTTTCCGCATTCATTGACACATAAATAAGTACAAGAATCACTTCAAAATAGTTTAAGGGTAAAGTTTAGAGATTAAATCATATGAGTATGTTAGTTTGGTTCAAATTTGACTGGGGGTTTTTGAAGAATGAGGCAATCATATTAGATCAATTTTGAGTGAATTGACAATGTTTACAAGGAATTAATAGCGGTAAGGTGTGAAAGTTGTGGGTATTCTATAGTTGTATCAAAAAAGTGAAAAACCAAGCTAAAAGCCCCAAGAATACCTGATTGCCACAATGTCAAAGAGCATAGTTGCTGACTAAGTTAGACCATGTACAGTACTTGAGTCTTGTGATAATATCAGTGATATTGCTTTTATATCATAAAATCAACACACAAAATTCACACACAAAGGTTTAAAATAGTGTATATTGGTATAAACGTTTAATAAAAATGCATACATACATAACCCATGGTCGGCATGGAATTTTGTCACTTGGCACAGCACTTTAATGTTTTTTAATGTTTGTCCCACATTAAAATATATTGAGTCAATGACAGTGCAACTCTTCATATTAAAACGTTCTAATCACATTTTACATGCACATTTGTATTCAGTAGTAATCTTTTCATAAAGGTACATCAAAGTCCCAAATCAAATTCTTCACTGACAGTATGTTATTGACTCCCAAACGACAAGTATTATAAAACACGCTTCCAAGCTGAAAAGAAATATTTACTGTTGTCAGTCAATGTTTTATAGCCTCTTCTCTTTGAATCTTGATCTTCCACAAGTATTGCTGTTGATTATATTGCATATTTTTTTGAAGAACATCGCAGACTATATATTTATTTCCACTGTCAGTTGAAATTAAGTTTATCATCATAGTTTCGGTCTCTGGTTTCAGTCGCAAAAGCTTCTATCGCCCCTTTGCACGGCCATGTTTGATAAAATCAAAGCGGCCCGCACCCCCGGTTTGAAAAGTTAAATATTCTGAAATATTCAAAATTTGAAGCATCACGTGACCAGCCTTTACCAGGGCCTTTGCTGCTTCGCCTCCTTTCTCAATAGGCCCTGGGGACGAGGTTGTCCCTAGACTTGCTCAGCCTTCCGTAGCCTTCCTTGGCCTTCCCTAGCCTTCTTGGCTTTCGTACGCTTTCTATGGACAATATAATGATATAGGAAGATTAGAGACAATATAGAGTATCATAATTTCGGGTTTTCAGTTAAGTTAATAATAATATAGCGCCTGTACCAAAATGTTCTAAGCGCTGTACAAAACTAAATCTAAGTTACAGTTCAATGAAATCATTAAGTTATTTACGGACTGATGAAATGATCAGATCATATACAATTTTGCTGTGTTATATTGTGGTGTGATTTTTAAAGACTGTTGGATTTACGTCAAGGTGAGCAATATGAAAAATCATTTTAACGGCTGACAAGAACGGGTGTACATTGGTAAATAATAAAAAAAACTTCACTTCACTAAGTAAAAGGTTTAAATTTTATTTATAGTTTATTTTTTCGTAACGAAATATTGAAGTATATTTTTAACGGAGAACATTAAATAACAAATGAGGTATCGGACAAGAGTCAGTTGGTGAGTACTGCAGCGCAATTTGGGATGGAAATAGTCCCTATAGCTCCAGATGGTAACTGCTTTTTTACTGCCATTGCGTTTTCAATCGTTCAGAATATTAGCAAATCAAATACTACAACAGTACATGCGGATTGCATGAGAATTTGGGAATTCAAGCGTGCGATACAACGGAAGAAGTTTCAGAAACACTGAGACAACTGACAATAGACGAGTTAAAAAGAAACAAATCCAAATATCTGCCATTTTTACACAACGTCCAGGAAAACCAATACGATGATCTTGTGAAGGATTTTCAATGACCTGGTGTATTTGCTGGAGATATGGGAGATCTAATTGTTAAATCTATGGCTATTAAAGACACCTCTCGTTATACTTACAAACATTTCCAACTATAAAGTGATAACAGACTAACAGTTACCATGGGCGTACCGGAAGGAAAAAATTAGGGGGGCGGAAAGAAAATTGCCCGACTTTTCGGGATTCTGCCCGACTACAATCAGTTTCAAAAGTCTTGGGACAGATGCCACAAAACCTTTGAATTTCAACAAACGACAATCCCCCCCCCGCCCAAAAAATTTCAGTCAGTGTACCAATTTAAGGGGTCAAAAAAATTTTCCGGACAACCAATATTCTTCGGAACATGACACAAATTTTCGAAAAATCACAAAATTTGCCAAAAAATTGACTTAATTTTAGACAAAATTAACAGAATTTGTTCCATTTTTTTTTATTGCAAACCGAAATTGCCCGACTGTTGATCGAATATTGCCCAACTGCCCGAAAAACTGGGTGGGCTACCGCCCCCCCCCCCCGCCCGGTACGCCTATGACAGTTACACCCGATGAATTTCATAAAGTACTTCTTTCTTCCTTCTGGTAACCTCGAAGCCGACAGCATAAAATGTACTTGTGGCATGTCTCAAAAGCAAAATAAACCTTCCTGTACTGATAAAATGACTGTTAGCCGGCAAACATATACTTCTCGTTGTCCTTGTCCGAGAAAAAATACAGCATGCACAAAATTGTGCAAATGTAAAGGATGCGACAATCCAAATGGCACGAAAATACCTGAAAATCAAGCTGAACTGAAGCGACGGCGAGCGGAATCGGAATCATATCTGATGTCCAAAAATGAGAATGTTACGCACGGAAAATGGACGGATGAAGAAAATTTCATATTTCTGCAGCATATGGAAATACACCCAAACGTTCTCATAGAAAATAATTCGGACATGTCCGCGACTGTTACAGAGTTCACACAAAATTTTAACTCTACGTTAATGCAAATGGGTGTTATTGAATCCGGCAGTGGACAGTTGAAAACGGAAAATCAGATTAAAAATAAGATTAAAAATGTGAAAAAGAAAAAGGAACTACTATATCGTCTAGTTGACGATGACATTCGAAAATCTATTAACACCATGAAACAAGACTTAAGTCGAATAAGGGTATACGTGCACACACTGCGATTTGTTGTGTATGATTCGTATTTCTGGCTGCATTTCCAATTTCACAACTAAATACAGTCGAATTGTGGGATGAACAGTAATATTCATACGCCAGAATGCAAATTGTACACCACAAAGCAGAGCGTGTAAAGGTACCATTTTACTGTATAATGACGAAACTTCCATGCATGCACAGACTGAAGTTCGACCAAACTATTATGATGAAATAGTAATGCAGTATACATAGCCGTACGAGGCAGGGGTGGGGGGCAACTAAATTTTGAAAAACCATGGAAATTCGGGCAAATTCTAGGAAAATAAAGAAATATATAAATATAAGGCCGGTTTACACGACCAGTGTTTTGGGCACGGCACCCCTAAAAATGGGCACCCGTGCCCAAAATTTTAGGCACGGCACCTCTGCCTTTTGGCGTGTAAACGTGACAAAAATCGGCACCGGTGCCGCAAAATTTAAACGTGCCGAGACTTTCTCACGAGGTAGTCTCGGCACGTCTAGCAAGGGGTGCCGTGCCCAAATTTCGAAAAAAATAAAAAATGTGTTCGACATCGAGCATGCGCAAAACAAATTGTCTTCTTTCCAACATGGCTGCAGCAAGCGGCGAAAAACTACAACTTGCCAAAAATAAAAAAAAAGGTTAAAAACAAATTTAAATAACACAGAATGTGAATGTTGCTCTAGTTGACTCGGAAATTTTGATACCACTGTTCGTCGCTGAAGAGAGCAGTAACTAGGTCGTAGCAAATAGCTGTCGTTCGATGCGTCCATACCTCTCGAATTCGTGGCGGGTGAATACAAGATGGCACAACATTTATGCGAGAAAACAACTCCTTTCGTCTTAAAGGACCTGTTCATATGGGCAAAGGTTATTTCGGTTAACGAGAAAACTTTTCGACTAGCCAAATATACTTTTGTTCTGTTCACATGCATGGAGAAATGTTATTCCGCTTACCGGGTAAAGTTTCCGGCTGTGACATAGCACTGAATATCAATTGAATTGTAAAGTCAGTACTGACACGACAGAAAGCTATCCTGCCAAGCGGGAACTAGAGTTGTGTTCATATGGGGAAAACATTATCACTTGACAAGCGAGATCTCGGTACGTACACGGGAAAACGTTTTGTCTTATATGAACGCAGTGTAAACAAACTTTTCATATTATTTTCATACCAAGGCGAGATCTCGCTTGTAAACTTTTCGAAAAGTTTTTTCCCTATTAAACCAGGATAACTTTTGCCCATATGAACTGGCCCTTAAAGTACGTTCCTAGTATTGAATTGGTTTTTCCCTCGATTTTCGGCTCATATAATATTCTTCTTCGTTCCAATAAATATAAATATACAATTCTATTTCTGGCCGGCATATTTATTCTTTAAAATATACCGTCGTAAACGGAAAATAGAGGTGCCGTTTTCCGATGGGCACGCACTGAATATCAATTGAATTGAAAAGATGCTGATACGACAGAAAGTTATCCCGCTAAGCGGTAAAGTTGTGTTCATGCATATGGGAAAAACATTATCCCGGTCACCGAGATCTGGCTTGTCAACAAGCGAGATCTCGGTATCACGGGAAAACTTTTTGTCTCATATGAACGCAGTGTAACTTTTCATATTATTTTCATACCAAGGCAAGATCTCGTTTGTAAATTTGTCGAAAAGTTTTCTCGCTAACCGGGATAACTTTTGCCCATATGAGCCTTAAAGTACTTTTCTAGTATTGAATTGGTTTTTTCCCTCGATTTTCGGCTCATATAATACTCTTCTTCGTTCCAATAAATATAAATATATAATTCTATTTCTGTCCGACATATTTATTCTTTAAAATATACCGTCGTAAACGGAAAGTAGAGGTGCCGTTTTCCGATGGGCACGGTGCCTATCATAAAAGTGTGTTTACAAAATGTTGTCGTGTAAACGAGTAAATAGCGAAGTGGCGGTTTTGGCACGGTGCCCATTTTCAGGGGTGCCGTGCCCAAAACGCTTGTCGTGTAAACCGGCCTATAACTGCCTCCCCCCCCAAAAAAAAACATCAGCCCAGTGAACCTATGACCTCAATAACACAATATACAGGGTGTATAAAAAAACTGAACAGATATGAAATTGCTCTCAATTTCGAAAAACAGCTATTAGTATCCAGTTTTTGATGTATATAAAAAAAGTTTTAATCATATTTTGAGTTAATAAATAGAAAATTTGTTGGGTTTTTAATGTACAAAATTTCAGAGAATTTGCTTTGGCTTAAGCTTTAACTATTCATATTTTTCTAAAAAATTAGCCTTTCGCATGCTTAATTAATGCATTTACCTAATTTGCATATTGCTGACATATGCAATTTAGTCACAGGCATTAATTAAGCATGCAAATAGCTGATTTTTTAGGAAAACATGTACAGTTTGCGTGAATAGTTAAAGGGCTTAAACTAAAGCAAATTGTCTGAAATTTTGTACAGTAATTACAAACCCAACAAATGGTTCATCTATTAACTCAAAATTTGATTAAAGCTTTAAATTTCGTGCGCAAGCCATTTTTAGTTTATTGGAAAAGACACTCCTCCCTGGTTCACAAAATTTGAGTACTAGTTCGAGAAATTTTTTTCATTATTCTACATTATAAGTACTCAAAGAAGCTATGTATATCAAAAATTGGATGTTTTGCGAAATTGAGAGCAAATTCATATATGCTCATTTTTTTTACACCTGTTTAACCTTTTCGAATCATAGGACATTTTATTTCACTAGTTTCACTAAGTTCATCATATCTAAACTATATATATGTAACATAGAAATAAACACAGTTGTACTTTGATAAGTTTAATTAAATAAACTTCAAGGAAAGCCACGATGCAACTTTTGATTGAGTGTTCGTTTAAAAATATCCGGGAAGAACTGCATCTTGTCAATCGAGGTCAATTTCCTGCTGTTGCGAGTAAGTGATTTATACTTTAAATCTTATACCTAGTGAAGTTTTTTAATTTATTATTTACCACTCGCACTGTACACGCGTTCATGTCAGTCGTTAAAATTATTTTTCATATTGAACGCCTCGACGTGAATCCTACAGTCATTAAAGATTACACCGCCAAGTAGATGTTGATTAATTTAAAAACCCCGAAACTATATGATACTCTATATGGTTTCTAATCTTTCTCTATCGTTATATTGTCCATAGAAAGCGTAAGGAAAGCCAAGGAAAGCTAAGAAGGCGTTATATCTTCAAACCCTCGTCGCCAATGTTATATCTTCAAAATCGTTATTTATTTCAACGTACCTAAAATATAAAACCTACACACATGTGCTCACTTCAAAAATCCACCGACCCCCTGATTAAACGTTCTATACTTCATGTAACACCACCATAACAGAAGGCTAGGGCTAAGGAAGGCCAAGGAATGATAAATAAGGCCAAAGAAGGAAAGGGAAGCCTAAGGAAGGCTGAGGAAGGCCAAGGAAGTCTAACGAATGCTAGAGAAGGCTAAGGAAGGCCAAGAAAGACTAAGGAAGGCCAAGGCTAGGGAATGCTAAGGAAAGCCAACGAAGGCTAGGGAAGGCCAAGGAAGGCTAGGGAAGGCAAAGGAAGGCTATGGAAGGCTAACGAAGGCTAGGGAAGGCAAAGGAAGGCTAAGGAAGGCTAGGGAAGGCTAGGGAATGCTAAGGAAGGCCAAGGAAGGCTAGGGAAGGCCAGGGAAGGCTAGGGAATGCTAGGGAACGCTAGGGAAGGCCAATGAATGTTAAGGAAGGCTAGGGAAGGCCAAGGAAGGCTAAGGGATGCTAACGAAGGCTAGGGAAGGCCAGGGAAGGCTAGGGAAGGCTAAGGAACGCTAAGGAACGTTAAGGAACGCTAGGGAAGGCCAAGGAACACCAGGAAAGACCAAGGAATGTTAAGGAAGCCAAGGAAGGCTAGGGAAGGCTAAGGAAGGCTAGGGAAGGCCAAGGAAGGCTAAGGAAGGCTAGGGAAGGCTAGAGAACGCTAAGGAAGGCTAGGGAAGGCCAAGGAAGGCTAAGGAAGGCTAGAGAACGCTAAGGAAGGCTAGGGAAGGCCAAGGAACGCTAGGGAAGGCCAAGGAAGGCTAGGGAAGGCCAGGGAAGGTTAGGGAAGGCTAAGGAACGCTAAGGAAGCCTAGGGAAGGCCAACTAACGCTAGGGAAGGCCAAGGAAGGCTAGGGAATGCCAGGAAAGGTTAGGGAAGGCCAAGGAAGGCTAGGGAAAGCTAAGGAACACTAAGAAAAGCTAAGGAAGGCTAGGGAATGCCAAGGAAGGCTAGGGCAGGCTAAGGAAGGCTAGGGAACGCTAAGGAAGGCTAAGAAAGGCCAAGGAAGGCTAGGGAAGGGTAAGGAAGGCTAGGGAACGCTAAGGAAGGCTAAGGAAGGCCAAGGAAGACTAGCGAAGGCTGAGGAAGGCTAGGGAACCCTAGGGAACGCTAAGGAAGGCCAACGAAGGCTAGGGAACGCTAAGGAAGGCCAAGAAAGGCTAGGGAATGCTAAGGAAGGCCAAGGAAGGCTAGGGAACGCTAAGGAAGGACAAGGAAGGCTATATCCTGCGAACAGGCTCTCAAGCTGAATTTAGAGCCTGCATCGATGACTAATGAATTTGAATATCTGCCCCGTAACGTTCGTTTTTCCAAATATGGAATATCTATCCTTATATGGTGTTGTTTACAACTTTCGGGCAAACTAAATTTAGACCGCGCAAACTAAATTTAGACCGTACAGTTTATACTGTTTTCCGAAATATAAGATATTCAAGCAAAAGTTTAAATGTTTTAAATACTGTTTTCTCAAAACAAAACATTTCGTGCTTTGAGATAAGATGGCCAAGACCAATTTGATCAGTTAATGTGTTTTTTATGCATAGTGTTTCAACAGTTGACATATATAGAGCTCAGCGGAATAATATAAATTATAACATCTGACCAATGAGAATTTCGCGTCACGATTTGAGACGCAGATATTCAAATTCATTAGTCATCAATGCAGGCTCTCA